GAAGGCAATTGCAATGGTAGTAAAATAAAACCACGACAATATAACTTAAATCATTTGATGGAATGACCTCTATGCTGTGGGCTATTTACTTTTATCAGAACACAGGCCAATAAATTATAATGGATACCAAATCAGAAATCAATTTAAAGCATTAAACCTCCTCCATGGTTACTTTGTGTATACTCAAGGAACATACTACCAAAAGTTACCTTAGACTCAAGTGTCAGAAAACAATTATGCATCAAATTTAAACCACCAGATAGGACAGAGTAATAATTGCTTAGTAGTGTCAAGACCTCACAAAGGTCAAACAAGGCATTACAAGGCAAGAATTTTAAAAAAACTTACTTCAGCAGATATATTTATGGTGAATAAGAAGGTATGAGTAACCAGACCAAGTAGCAAGATTTGCTGGTCAGATATGATGAAGATTCTTATTTAAGGTTTAAGTTCTTTGGGGCAAACTATACTTGCCACCTTACATAATGATATTATTATTATTATTATATTAAGTCTCAACTTTGTATCTGTACTCTTGTTAGTACAACACAAACACCCCTTTCTGTGGCAACAATTACTGATGCACCAGAAGCAGCAATTTGGTTAGGTATAATCTGCATTCTTAACCTGTTTCTAGGAAGACATTTACTTACATTTTTAGTGGCTTCAAAAGATCTTCTGTGTTGCTCTGAATATTATTTCAGAACACTGATGTAATTCAGTCTTCTTCACCACCAAATTATTCCAGACTTGACAACTGTATTATGTAATGCAAGAAACAGGAAATTTCCTGAAAATCAAGTGACCAAAATACAAAATAAGCTTCGTATTTTAGAAATATAATGTCTGAAATACACTTTATCATTATATTTTAGATATTTATTTTAAAGACAGTATCATAGGGTAGGAACTAAATCTACAATGCTGAACTAGACTGCCTAGCTTCTTGATCTGGATTCATCCATCCTAACTTCAAAGTCTAATTCATTATAAGTACCCTGTGGGAAGAAAAAGGCAAGAAACTCCAAAAGGCAATTCAAATATTTATGACCTGTGGCATGACAGAGATCCAACCCTATGCCCTAGAGAGCAGGGCACATTAGCACTGCCAGCAAAGTCTAGTCTACAGTGACAACTGGTGTGTGCACCCAGCTCTAACTGAAGGGCAGAGCTTCTGATCCCCAGCAATTGAAAAGAACACCTCTCATTGACAAGGATGCTTTAAAGTTCTGCTCCCGCACAGCCCAGCTTCAGGAGTTTCTATGACTTTTTCAACCATCCCTACTACAATATCCTTTGGTTTGGGTCTCAGCTTTCCTGAGCTCTCTGCCTCAGCAGAGTTTGTAGGAAAACATCCAAGCAGACTGACCCACCATTCTGATGCCACTCATACTCTTCCTTGCCCTGGAGAAGAACTGGGTGCATGAGCACAGCCCACATCCTTCAATGTGGCTGGGATTAATAAGAGATAGGGAAATTATTAACTTCCTTCATCTGTCCTTTGGCTAACAACAGCAATAAACAGCCAAACCAAATAAAAAAGCACAGCATCATGTGGCAACTCTATCATCAAAACCAGCTAGCAGGTGCACAGACAGCAGTGCAGCCATGTCAGCACAGAAATCAACTTCTGCTCAACCCCAGCTGCTGACCCCAGGTGCCTGGCACTGTCAAGTTCTGCAGTGCCAGGGCAAGTCCATGAAGGAGAGAGGGTGAGCTAGTAAACATGTGCCTCCATAAGCTGTGGCCAGATCCTGTTTATCACAGGAACCACACAGCAAGAGCCCCTTAAAGACTCAGCCAAAGCACAGGGAAGGCCAACACACTCTGGCCAACAGATGAGCCCTTGGAATCTGGAGGGAGGCTGAGTGGTTATTGGGCTCTCCTGCACTCACATCAACCAAACTGTGAACAGCAGCAGCCTTAACTAAGCAAACTGCAGAACCCTGACAGCACTGAATGCTTCTCACAACATAAATGCTAAGGCAGGATGCAAACACTAAGAGAGATATTCAACATTTAAGTGACCTTAAAATAAGACTTATGTCTTTGACACTTTAGTGACCTTAAATTTTAAAGCTCTCAAACTGCTGTCCTTGATCCAGCACCAAAGAAACAAAGAAATTGGAAGTAGCTAGCAAAACCTACAATTACAACAATCTATATTAGTTTCTTTTTGAAAAATTTAAAACACAACTTGCAATACTGTATCATAAAAATATTTCTTACTAAGGCCTCTGGGAGCCTACTTCACAGCCTACACTTTCAATTGTTCAGTGAAGTGTTAGAGCTTCCAGCACTCTGCTTCATCACAACTGCAGCTTGTCTGAGAGACTTTACAGAAGCAATAGGGATTGTCCAGAAAAACTGCTTATGACATGTTGAGTACTTGAAACGCACATGGCTTATCTTCAGAACAGAATCTGTAACTCTCTTTTAATATCCACCAATTCCTGAGCACCCTCAGGCACCAGGTCACCTGCGCTCTTTAAAGAGCAGAAGACACCCACAAAGACATTTCTCTTTTGTTGCTCGGCACTCAAATCCGTGTTTGAGCCAGCAGGGTGCTCTGTGCTCTAAAGCACCGGTCAGGGTAACAGCAATGCTCTCAGGAGGATGGTGCTGATTCTGACAGGCCACGAAGAATTGCCTCATCCTGCTTTAGCTAATGCAGTGATGCCATGCATCTCCCTGCGGAGCATGATCTCATCCTGGTGGGGGGAAGAAATCACGGCAGTGCTTTAAAAATTTATTACAGATTTTTATTCTGCTCTTTGATATTATTTTCTCTGAAAGCTTAGATAAAATGAGGTTTCAACTGTAAGGAAATATAAAAAAACAAGTTCTTGAAAAGAACAACAGCATTTTTATAATCTAGCAAAATATATTCTGTAGATTTTAAGAAGCTTATTTTATAGTATTGTATCTGAAAAAAAACACAATTAAAAAAACCCAAAAACCATGAGACAGAGACAGCAAATATAAAGGTGATGCTACAATGATCTTTACATATACCAAGTAGTAAGAAATAAAGTGGCTCTGAAAGGTCCAAAGCTATGTAAGCTACCAAAAATGACCAATGTCTCTCTGTACAGCAATAATGGCAAAAATATTTTCCCCGACATAAATGCAGTTGTTTTAATGCTTTTCTTTTGATAAGAGAAAGCCATAAATAAAACAACTTTTTACTCCATTCCAGTCTGGATTTACTTATTCTGCCTGGATCTAAGGAGAATAAATTCATATCATCATGTGTCACCACTGCCATAAGAACCACCAGGTTTCTTTTTAAAGCAACAGTTATTGGAAACGAGGTTCAATTCTCATCAACAGAAATGAATGGTATAGTGCCAAAAATAATACCAAAGCTTCTGAGATGGGAGAAAGCAAATAATTAAACTGTCTTTAGTTACCAACTGGATTCTGAAATATGCAAACCACAGGAGACAACACATATTTAGTAGCTATCTACTGCTACAAAGCAATGAGTACAGCACTATTAAAACACGTGTTCAAAACAGACATCAGCAATGTAAAACAGCTCCCTAAAGATAGGAAAAGAGCAGTTTCCTACATCACATGACTGCAAAAGAAAATGTCAAGCATTCAAAGAAGTATTTTTTGTACATGAATGCATACAAGACATATGATACTAATGCAGACATGCATTGAGTTATTAATTCACCTGTAGCTATTAGTCACATCACTACCGCTATAAGCAATAGCCACATCGTGTTCCTTAGCACGAAGGGCACGGTGTGCTAGTTCTAAACCTACCCCACCTGGCAAGCAGACACCTGAAAGAAGAACTGTGAGTTACAGGGTAAAGGACTACAGATGGCCAGCCCGATCCTCCAGCCCAGAGGGAACAGACAGGACACAGCCCGCCTTTTCCATGCTATCAAAAGTCAGCCACAGCGCCTGCCAAGGCCCCAAGCACGCTTTCCGTCAGGGCAGACGGGGTTTAACACGCTTTGTTCTGGAAGACCCAAATACAGCTCCCGACCCCGTGTTTCCGGTCAATGGGGTCACCAGAGAGCAGTTCGGAATTACAGCGCCTTGCTTTGTTTTCCTTCTTTCTGCCCTCTGTTTCAACAGCTTCTCCACAGAGACAGGCTGAAAAGGCACAAGCTAGCTACCGTAAGGGTCTGCAAAGCTAACACCTGAGCCATGGCTCTGCCCCCAGGCAGGGGAAGCGGCGGGCGCTGGGCTGGCGCCGGGCCACTCTCTCCTGCCTGGCCCGCGGGCAAGGCCGGGGCTCACCCTCATCCGCCCCCGGCACCGACCGAGAGACCGACCGAGAGAGCGACCGACCGACGGAGCGCCGGGCCTACGGGAGCCCCGCGGGTAGCCGGGGGAGCGGCGCTCTCAGCCAGGCCCGCCCCGGGCGAGACGCTGCTCCCCTCCTGCTCCCCTCAGCCGACTTGCTCCGGGAGAGACGCGAACGGCCACGCGGACCTGGAGAGCCACAGCCTGGCCCACCCCCCCGCTTTGTTCAGCCCCACCGCCGCACCCACATCCCGGCCCCGGCCCGCACCCCAGCATCGCCACCACCCACCAGCTTCGCCGCCTACTCGCTGCGCTCCGACCACGTTTTCCCGAGCCTGGCTTAGCTGAGCGCTGCTCGGCGCGGAAAAAGCCCCGCCGCCGCCGCCCGGCCCGCCCGGCGCCCCCTGGCCCCGCCCCGCGGAGGGCGGGCAGCCCGCTCCATGGCGGCGGGCCGCGGGCGGCGGCGGTGAGTCCGTGCCGGCGGGAGCGGCGCGGGTGAGGCGGGCCCGGCCTCTGGGCCCTCTCGGCGCGGAGAGAGGCGTGCGGGGCCCGGCTGAGGAGGAACGGGGTGGCTGCTCTCCTCTCTCCTGCTGTCCCGGAGCTCGCCGGGCCGGGCCCTATGGCGGAACACTGAGCCGCCGCGCCCTGCGGGCTCTGGGCGCTGAGCTGGGTAGGGCTGTCCTTGCTGTTCCTGGGTGTGAACGGTGTAACCCAAACCTTGCCAGGTTTGCGCTGCTGCTTGAGTTCCTCTGCCTGCTGAAATAAATGTGCCGTTCTGGTACATTTACACTGTGTTTGTGCGGCCTCATGTTAAATGCAGTGTGCAGCTTTGAGCACAGTGAGGATGGTGAAGGGCTTTGGGGGGAAGGAAGCCATATGAAGAGCAGCTGAGGTCACTTGGTCTGTTCACTCTGGGAAGATAAACAGACCAAGATGAAAAGAGGCTAAGGGGAGATCTCACTGTGGTCTTCAGTGTCCTTGTGAGGAGAAGAGGAGGGGCAGGCACTGATCTCTGTGGTGACCAGTGACAGGAACCAAGGGAACGCCTGAAGCTGTGTCAGGGCAGGTTGAGGTTGAATATTAGGAAAAGGTTCTTCACCCAGGGAGTGGTAGGGCACTGGCTCCCAGGGAAGTGATCACAGCACCAACCTGACAGAGCTCAAGAAACATTTGAACAACATTGTTGTGTACATGGTGACTCTTGGAGGTGGTCATGTGTAGAGCTGGGAGTTGGATTAGAGATGATTCTTCCAACTCAGAATATTCTGTGATTCTGAAAAAAAATGGTGGTTTGTAAAGGAAATGGCTATTTGGAGTAATCAGTGGGGATAATTCCTAAATGAGCAGCCCCCCTCTTGGCCTCAGTGAGTGAGATCCCCGTGGGTGAGCTGGCCTGTCCCATGGCAGGACCACCCTCGGACAGGGTTTTTGCCCACCTGCATGGTGACGGTCCCTGGCTGCCCACACACCTGCCTTGCACAACAGCGCTCTGGCGCTGAGGGCTGGTTTTGCCTTCATCATCAACTTTCAGGTCAGTTGGTTTCATATTTGTACATTGACCTTCAGTAGCAGAAGTCAGATAACACTGGAAGCTGTGTATTGCAGCTTCTCATAGCAGGCACTAACCTACTTTTGCAGATCTTATCACCGGGTCTGATGCACTGATTTTGCACTTGCAATCCTAATTTGAGGAACAGCTTGTCCAGAGGAGTTGTGGGGTCTCTTCCACTGGAGATACTCAGGAACTGACTGGACACAATCCTGTGCCACGTGCTCTAGGATGACCCTGCTTGAGCAGAAGGATTGGACCAGGTGACCACTGTGGTCTCTTCCAGCCTGAGCCATTCCATGATTCTGTAATTGTAGAGGCCACTTCCTCTGCTAGGAGGGCAAGATGAACATTTGTGGTTGGGAAGATGAGTAGTGTTTGTTAATGTGCCACTCGTAAGCTCAACCTAAGGATAGCTAGGCTAATTTTCACTATTGTTAAGGAATTTAATGTGTTCTTCTAAGGCTGAATCAGTAGCTGGGAGAAAATCTCATGGATTTATTTGTGTCAAGGACTGTGAATTCTGCCATAGAACTATGTTGCATGATACACACCAGCCAGGAAACAAGTGTAATGTTATTTTGAGTAGCAGCTGATTTGCATGTCTCAGCTTCAGTTGTCAGCAGGTGTGGGTAATATGTTTTGCCATTATCATGAGAAGTAAAGGGAGAAGTAGTCTTCCATAAAAAGAGAAAATGAAATAGCAAGTTCTTTAAGTCATTGCTCAGGAGACATTTTTCCAGACTCTCCATGCAGTCATACTGCTGAGTCACTAACACTGAAGTCCAAACCTGTTGGTGACAAAATTTCTTTCAGTCAAGTCAAACACAAATAAGTACTGCCCTTACTTCTGGTGGGACATAGGAGAGGAGGATGAAGTGAGAATTTCCCAGTGAGCTCAGAAGGCTGGTCTGTAAGTGTTCATTGTGTGTGCTCTGAATAGATGTGTTGTGGTGTGGTTCACACAGGAATTGGAATTGCCTTGAAAAGGCTTGACATGTTGGACTCTTGAGAGACCAAGTGTTTGGACTGCAAGAAATATGATAGGTTTCAGTTTAAAGTAAGGTCATTGCCCTTCTCCCAGGTTCAGGTATCCTCCCAGCTGTGTTTCTGCAAAAATAAGGCCTGATATAACTAGAAAGTGTAAAATTAATAAAGAATTATGGGGCTTCTCCTTTACTTTCCTTTTTTATTGGTCACCCTGTGGGAAAATGCTGATGTAGGGATGTCTTTTTCACCCACCCAGTTAATTTACAGCCAGCAATATCAAAATGAAACCGAAAGTTTTGTTAGCATTTCTGAGAAATGCCAAGTGCCTATAATCTAACTTTTCATTCCCAGAGAAGAAACTAAGAGCACAAAAAAGGAGTGAAGAAAATGCACAGGTCAGAAGATGGACAAGGAGGATAGAGGTAATGTTTGACCCCCGTTGCAGAAAAAACATTCTGGTTTTAGACTTGATGCAGGCCCTGACTATCAAGACATTGGCAGGCCTAGAGCAGTGGGCAGAAATGTCAGTGTCCAGAAACTTCTGCTGTGGAAAACTTGGAGGGGGAAATGAGAGGATCTAAACTTTGGACTTTGGGGCTCCACAAGAATATTTAAGTACTTACATTTGCCTTGTGGATCCAGCTTGTTAAAGGTTTGAATACTTTTGAATATGCTCATTTTCATTTTTATCTTTCACTGCAACCCAGGGGCTGTTAGGAGAACCAGGTGGTTGTTCTGGGCAGAACAAGAAGATTCCCCTTCATGTTCCTTCTTGCCTCTCTTCCTCTCTTTCACAATTTCCTGGCAGTGCTTTTTACTGATTTGCAGGTGTTCCACTTACAAATAATTGTACATATGTGTGTTTATGCTTTGCTACATTACTCTGCAGCATTTGGATTCCTTTATGGGACTAGAAGCTTAAAGGTTGCAAGATAGCAAGACTTAATGCATGGTTCTATTTCTTGGAAAGAGATAAGATTGCTGTTTTAAGGTTGTGAAAAATACATGAGCTTTTAAAGCAGGTGAAAGTATGAGTGATCAATAGCAAAGGTCAGCAGTGGAGAATGGAGCCCTCATTTTTGATTTCAGTTCTTTTACTTCAAGATACAGAGCTCAGAGCTAAAGTCCTGAAGTCTTAACTCCTCCTATGAAGTCAAATATTGTACTTCCCATACAATTAATTATCTCATTTGTCTCCTCAACCACAAAGGAAAAATATTTTTTTACTCTTAGCATTTTTTTATTTTTACTCTTAGTATTTTTTTACTCCTGATTGATATAATGTGCCTAGCCAACAGTTTGTATATTTTCTGAGAAGTGTAATACCATTCTGTAGACAAAAATGAAATTTCCTAGGCCTTCTTTCACTGTCTTTATTCTATTGTGTTTATTGATAGTGTAAATATGAAGCTCTTGTACTTCCAAAACAGTGTAGAGACATTTAATATTAAATTGAATATCTTAGCAAGGTTGGGTGTTGATTTGGAATATTGGCCACTCCCAGTTAATTAATAAATTACATTCAACAAAACCAGAATCAAAAGCAGTGAGGAGTGCAGGATATGTTCAAATTAAAATTGCCTTGCAAATGGATTAATACCGATTTGACTATCTGTAATTGCTTTAGGAGAAATGAAGAGAAAATGGCAAGAAAGACTGAAGAAAGTGGAAGAACTAGCATCTCACTATGAAAGAAATCCTCTTCCTACAGTTTATAGACCAAGACTGTCCAAACCCTCTATGCCATCCTCTGTTTGGAAAATATTTTCTCGACAGGCTGAAGCATTTAATTATGTGAAAGCCTGTGAAGAGGTATGTTAGGTGTTAGGGAAATGCCTCTACTCTTTATATACTGCATCATAAGACTGAACATCATTTAAAATTGCTGCTGGCAAGTGAAGTCTTTCTCAGTTTACAAGATCTTTTTCCTCCTAATCCTGAAACTGCAAGTATTTTTTTTTGTCCTTGTAGGTCACGTTGCACTGGAGTTCTCTCTAAGTTGAAGTACTAGCTCTGTTCTAACATACAAGCTGATATGTGGTGTTAACTTTGAACAGTAAAAGTGCTTTTTGGGAACATTGCAGTGATAAATTTGTTCCTTCTCAAGATGAACAAGCTGTCAGGATGGGCAGGAGAATGGGAAGGTTAGTGAGCATTGAGTAGGAAGAAAGAGAAGGGAAAAAATGAGGAAGAAAAAGAGATAAAGAAGAGGCAGAGACTAAATAAAAACAATGCAACTCTCCAGTGGCATCTGAGTAGCAAGTTCAGATGATTAGAAGTGATTAGCCAAATAAATATTGTGTGAAAGGTATCCTCTGCTTTCAGTTTAACACTTTTTAACTTGATTGCTATTTTTAAAGAAAATATTGTGTTTTTCTCCATACTTGTTTCAGGTATTCAAGTAGTCCTAATAGCCTGTTTTCCAAAATGGGTTCTCATTGGCTTGGCAGTGTTTTTTTTTTCTATTTTCTTCTCAGATTTCCATTTTTGGATCTAAACAACATAATGTCTGAAGAATATTTGCCCATAAAGCTTATACTGCCACCATGTCCATGAGGCTGCTGCTCCTTTCAAGACATTGTTCCTCCTCCCTTTAGATCCACCTGATACGGATCAGAAAAAACAAGAGTTTAAAGAGAAAACAGTTTAAATTACTGCACAGCAAAGAAAAGCTTCAAAGCTTTACCCATGTAACTGAAATCAGAATGATGTTCTAAATTAAAACTAGATGGTACTGAGTGTGGAAAAGGATAAGTGATCTGTTTATAGTTCTCTAGTATTTACTAACCTTAAACTGATGCCAAGTAGGAACTTAGGAAGATTTAAACTGGTTTTTTGAATAAAACTAACAAAAAAATGTCAATGTTTTCACTTCAAAAGGATGTTCATGTATTTGCTTTGGAAAAGAACACACAGAGTGGACAGAGGTTTTACCTTGTGACAACATATGAAGAGCTTTGGTATTATTACACGTGAGTATTTGAGCAGGTGCCCTGCATGTTACTAGAAGTTAGTGGTACACTGGATATCCTGCCTAGTATTCCCAGGAGCCATCTGCTGCTCTGAGTAGCACAGAGCTGGACTGGGTTCCTTGAGGTTTCATCTTGGAAATGGGAAAAATCTTTACAAGGACAAAACAATATATTCTATAGTGGGTTTCAACTTTCTTTTGAGTAGCAGGTTGCCATTATTTCCTGTGAATTAAGTACTCTGTCTGTTGAACTGAAATTTATTAAGAGTAGATTTGCTTTTGCTGTCAGCTTTCCTCAGGGGATCATACCAACACATGACAAAACATACTTCTCTGACTAGTCACACACCAGTTTCAGTGGGCGTTAATGCAGGTGTCTGCAAACTGATTTATGGGTTTGCATTTGCATGATGGAGTTCCAAGTATTGATAATTCAGTCGTGTACTGAACTTTCCCCCCCATTTGTTTCTTTTACAATAAAACATTTGGCTGTGAAGTGAAAGAAATCAGACTCAATCTTTTACATATAAAGCTTGATTTTTTTTTCTGAAACTGATGATGGGATTATTTTTTAATTTAATTAGAAAAAACTCCATATAACCTGTTTGTGCTAAAGACATATGAGTGATAACCTAAGTTTTTTTACTGTAGTTTTCATAGTTCCTTGAATTCTCAACATTTCTGTATGTGTTGTAAGACTGAGGGGGCATGGGGAGGAGAGTACTCTACAAAATTAAATCAAAATTAAATTCTAGGCCAGACAGTCTTTGCTGACACTTGATGCTGGTGTTAGTTACAAATTTTTCAGAGCATTATAGGGCTACTGCATTTTTCAAATATGGATGGTTGATTGCAGAATAAAATATGTGAGATCCTTGTTTGCAACTGATAAGCATGTTTATCATGCTCATAATGTTTATCATGAGGGGTTGTGATTTGTTTGTGTTTCTCCTTAGTCAAGGTTGCAAAACAAGTCTGATGCATTGCTATGAAGTAATTCCTGAAAAAGAAGCTTGCAAACTTTATTTTGATTTGGAGTTTTACAAACCAGCAAATCCTGATGCAGATGGCAAGAGTATGGTCATGAAGTTAATTGAGGTAAACTGGAGCGAAGTCATGCTGTGGATGAATATGAATTTGTTGTTAATATAATAAGAAACAAAAGTATTTATCACTTTATATTGATTATGCTATAGCAAAATTAAAAGAATTGCAGACCAAGTGATTATTTTCAATTAAGTAAAAATCCTGTTTTAAATAAAGGAAGGGTTTGATCTAAGAGAGACAAAAATTTAACTGAAAGACAAAAATAAAGAATGATGGCTGTTGGACTGTTTGTATTCATGGTAGGTTTACTTTTGAAGATTGTGTTATGTGCTCTGCCACTTCAAAGCTGTAAAACTGCAGGAATGTTTAGGTGCTCTTTAAAGTAGCATCAACAGAAGTTCCATTCCTATATTCCTCAGTTCATTCCCTTTGCCTAATGGTGAAGTCCTATATCAAGGCTTAGGTGAATCTCTCCTGAAAGTTTTAGACTACAGTTCATTATAATTGAGTTAAATGATGATGTAGAGAGCATCATGTGGCTGCATGTACCAATTTGGTACCTAAAATTAAATACCTTTGATAATTATCAATTTTTTAAAATAGTGCAGTTTCCATTTTATTGCAATTTTTTTTTGGTAAATGAGCTCTCTGCAAGTTCAATATGGCATTCATATATTTTTAGAAGAATATCTTCTGTTTTAATAAGATCCAATTGTGAGTGGATATCTGTTTGTGAGACTTCTGTCACTTACATGTATCTAGCTAGAAGTGAACAAAAGTAAAATATTATTGAGGTAATTCCTTCATAAATAACCCTTAATTGATACAGAATCTGGAGGGGTTTATCCATTGTGAATTTTTGCTCTGAAATGTAGAGATTCCTCAGGTTAAGAAGAGGATTTTGGATTTGCTGGGTAGAGGATCTGAGCTGCTGAAACCCAAAACTTCCAGATCTTTAGGTTCTGAGTCCAAGTCCTAAACACGAGTCATAAGTAGCTTGGTTTATGAAAGGGTTTTTTTAGAGCTAATTTAGAGTGAAATCTGTTTTCTGCTTAGTTGTGTTCATTGGGTGGTACCAATGAATTAGCTAAATCATCCCAGTGAATTAGCTCACCAGTGCTGTGTATTATGACAGCCTCCATCTTCTACTCCTGTGAGTCTGCATTGCAAACATTGTCACTGTGGGTGTGAACTGCTTGCTGGTGGTGGAAAACAACCTGCAGGCTAAAGCCTCCTCAGCAGACTTTGACCTGAGAAACTGCAAGTCTTATCAGCTTATCACTGTTAGTTAAGTGACTTGCATGTTTAAGGAATAAAGTCTGTGTCAAACTTGGTTAAAACTTGATACAGGTTAGTTTGAATTAAATTATTTGTATGCTCAAAATGAGGGGAAAAAAAGAATTTGAGAAATATGTAGATACAGCTACTAGAGTAAAACAACATAATTAATGTCTATAATTTCAGCTTGTCAGCCAAAAATTAAAAGAATTTTATGATGTAAATTGTTCATCAGATGATGTCTTGAACTTGGATTCCAGTACTGATGAAAAATTTAGTCGGCACTTAATTTTTCTGCCCCAAAAAACTGTGTTTAAGGATAACACTCATATTGGTAAGTGTGTTCTTTTCTCTTACATCTAGAAATAAAAGGTGAGCTTTTGACTTTATACAGTGACAACTCACATACGAGTATTTCTTTTAATGGAATGATATGTGGAAACAAATGTGTATTCCCAACATACACATAATTACTCTATAGGAGTAATTAAGCCTCATTTTTTCTCATCTTCTACTTTCTTTTCCTATAATTAGCATGTGTTTACAAAACTGCAACTTTTTTTGTGCCTGTATGTTTTATTTAAAAAAATACTGATTTCTATGAAACTGGCAAGTCTGTGGCTCCTTAATTTTCGGATTAATGTCAGTCTTAACAATTGAAGCTGCTGGTTTTTGCTCTAAATACAGTTAATTTCTGCTCAGCACTTTGTCAAAAAGACAGGACAAAGATGATTTCAAGCCGCCTGTGCATAAACATGCTTAAGAGAAAGCTGAAAGCAATTTTATTTGTTTACATGAGTCAGGATTTCTCAGATATGGAAACTCCAACACAAAGAATTGCCAGTTTAGGGTTGTCTTGACTCATTTGTGTGGCCCAGTAGTCCTGTAATGAATTATGAGGAAGATGATTTTGATGCTTGATATGCTGAGTCATTCTGCTGAGATGTAGCATGGGAGGAACAGTATTTCATCTTCATTCATGTTCCCCATGGAAGCTTCATCCAACAGTGCAGAATCATCCTTGCCAGTATTCCTTCCACTTCATAGTTTTTTCCCCACATCTGTGTTTATTATCTTCTCTTGCTTTCTCCCTAGAACTAATTTGGCCATGGTTTTTATTTGTCTGTCTTTGGTTTCCATCCAGCAGAGCCTGGAGTTACAATGGCAGTTGAATTACAATACTGGGAGTTTGAAAAGTCATGACAAAATACTTCTGTAAAAGTAATTTTTTGTTTGAGTAAGCTTTGGTCAATCTCTTACATCAGTAAATACAACATTTCAATCATTCTGAAAGTGAAATTAGGGAAAGCAATAGTGAGGGGACAGACACAAGCTTTTTAGAATCCTAAATCTGAGCTTGTTAGTATTTAAGTTTTGGGGGGTTTTTAAGCTGTTTAGTACAAATTCTTGTGAGGCATTGGTTTTTCAGTCACTGGCCAGAACCATCTTATACAGTGGGCTGATCAAAAGATTTCTTTTTAAAAATCCAGAAGGGCTAAAAAAATCCCTGAACTTCAACCACTTCCATCTTGGCTGTTTTGGAAAATGTTTGCACAGAAACTCTCTAAGTTCTTTCTTGACTCATAAATGACTTCTCCTGCTTGTGGCCTTTTTGGTTGTTTTTAAGGTAACTTTGTGAGAACCATTTTGCAGCCTGCCATAAGATTAATGCAGAGTAGGGCTGCTGTGATTGCAACAGAAGAAGCAGGGAATGTTTTCCAGTGCTCTGCAGGAGCTGGATTAGATGGTTCTCTTACAAACCTCCCAGCTGTTAAAGATGATTCTAAAGACAGGCCAGCCATTGCTCATGAAACAAAGGATGTGGAAAGGCCACACCAAGGAGAAAATTGGGATTTTTCCTTCCTAATAGTAAACGATAAAGAAGGCAACAAGCAGCTTTTTGTGGATCTAGGTAAGTGTAAGTGTTTTTAAACCCCTTTGGGATACAACAAAGATTAAGAATGAAATGTTCTTTTATCTTTGATTAATGTTGTCCCTATGGTCAGACTTTAAATACATGCTGAAACTGCCATCATAAGTGCTGTGCTTTAAAGGAGCCTTAGATTCATGGTCTATGGAACTTCTTATATTACTACATTTAATTATTTTGTTCTGAAGTTTAAAGTAGTTCTTTCCACACAGGACAATTTTTTCCCTTAAGGACTTAGTGCTCCCATTTGGATTGAAAGAGGATAGCATATATTGCATTTTTGTTATTTCAGTTGAATTAGAAGCTGCTTAATAAAAGAAGTCTTACAGGCTTGGCTTTCTGTATTCTTCTACATCTATGAATTGAGCCTTCTTTCCCTATTGGGAATGGCAGCTGTTAGCTTTCAGTGATGAAATAATAGAAATTTTGGATTGGGCACTTCATGGCCCAGCTGGGCATAGCCTGTTCATGGTATTAAAATGTTACAAATCTCCAGGAGCATAACTCCCATAGTCAAACTAGAGTTTGAAAGTTCCATCCTTCTTTAACTCCATATCTGGTTTTTTGCTTTTTGCCTTATCTGAGGGAAATGAAAATAGCTTAGCACACTTTTGCACAGCAGTGTGTTACACATTTCATGACTTTACCTTGGGTTTTTTATTCAGACTTTTCTGAAGAACTTCCATTCCTTCAAATTCTTCTCATGGAATTCAGGATCACTTTTATTGTGGGCCTCTTCAGTATGTCTGATCTATTGAAATGTAATCACAAAGTTGGCTACAGTAGGCTTCTCTGTACTGAGTCGGAAAGGTTACTTTCACCTACTGTTCAAAATTCCTTCAAGCATATTTGTAAATGGAATTTAAATCAAAACAATTTGTTTCCTTTCTCACTTCTAAAGAATTTGATGTTAGTTTCCCATAATTAACCATCCTCAGTATTTATGTTATGCACATTACCTCAGAACTGGAAAGCTAAAGTCAAAATTGCTGAACTACTGAATTATATCATGAGGCTGCAGTGATAGAAAGCTTTTTGATGTTCTTCTTGTATGAGCTCTGTAAGTGCTTTTCTCTTAATGAAAGTCAAATGCAACCTGCAAATAAAACTCATCTTCTCAATTAATTATTAGATAGATTGTGCAATGTTAAGATTGTTGTTTTGTTGTTTGTTTTTGAGACTGGAATTAAGCTGTCCTTATACATGTCTCAGAAAAGCTGTGAAGAAGTCCACAGAAAACAGAAAGGTTGATTAAGTTCTTTCTGGTTAAAATAATTGTGCAGCTTTTTGGGCTCAGTTGTATTTCACAAAGTTATTGTGAAAGGACCAATTTGTTTTACTGAAGGGAAACTTTTAACAATTCTAATGTCAGAACGATTGAAATGCCTATGTAGAGGTGTTGAGCATTTGCCTTTACTATTCTGTAACATAAAAGTGTATGTGTGTGAGTGATCTTGCTGTGGTGCATTTCTTCTATGGGATGTGAGCTCGTCAGTTTTTGTCCATTCATTAGACTCTTAGCTGGGCCTAAGGAAAATGGTTTAATTTACAAGTGCTCAGTATCTTAATTCCTAGCCAGCACTGCTGTGCTAAGAAATATCTTTTTTCCTGTAGGAGTTTATACAAAGAATAGAAATTTCCGGATGTATAAGTCATCAAAAGCAGGAAAAAATGTGATTCTGAAGATAGCAGAGGATAATAAGTTCATCCCCAACTGTGAAAAGGATGTTTCCTTGGAAGAAGCATATTTTCTTTCCTCTTTAATCTGCAACGTTGGGTAATTACTTAATTCCAGTCAAATGTACATAGATAGAATAAAATATAGATAAAACATAGATAAAATATTTTAATGATAATTCTCCTGTAGCAGTTACAAATAACTATTATGAATGAGCAGTTATTCAATTAACCTTGTTACAGTGTAATTTAGGAGTTCCTAGTAGAATTTCTTGGTTTTGAAGAAAAAAATTTCTTGGCAGTCTTGTTATTTTGTTAAACCTGCCTTCAAATCTGTTACAGCCTCTGAATTGCCTCATTTCTCTATACACACTCAAAATGCCAAAACATAACCATTGTTAAGTTGGTCAGATTCTGTGTAGTTCTGGAAGCAAAACTTAACAGATTTCTAGTCAGTTAAATATGAGAATTCTGAATATTTTTCAAAGTAAGATAGGAAATAAAAGGGTTTCTGTCTGTTTTTTTGCACACCAGATGTCCCATTTGATGCAGACCCCTCCGTCAGCAGGGTACTTGTACAGACAATAATCAACTTTTCTGTATCTAATCTAAACCTCTGATATGTCATAACTTATCTTAAAAAGATCCTAATCATTGCTGTAGCAGAAAGGTTAAAATAGTATTAATATATTTATTGAAAACATGTATTTGTTCTGACTTCAGGTTTTATATCCTGAAGTGTTCATTACGCTGAACTGATGCCAGTAAAGCACACAGTGTATTCAGACCTTAGGCATCAGCTGAATCCACCACAAATATGGATGAGAAATTCTGCTGTGTTGAATTCAGACTTGTTATCATCTGGCTTCCAGTTAGCAATGTGGCAGAGAAACAGTTCATTGTAGAGGGAGGGAAAAAAAAAGAAACCTTCCAAATGGTATATTTGCATCAATACTACATCTAGAGCACATCCTGCTGTAGGAGTGTGCACCAGCAGTTGTTCAATGGATCCTGGGACTCTGGCCAGGAACCAAATGTTGCTGCTGGGGAGGAGGAAGCCCTGTCCTGTGGTGGGAGTCAGGGAAACTGCCAAGGCCAGAAGGGGAAGTGCTCCAGGAACAGGGAAAGGTGCACAGTGAATCACAGGCTGCTCAAGGTTGGCAGGGACCTCTGGGGGTCTCCTGGCTCACCCCTGGGCCCAGGGCTGTGTCCTGTTGTTCTGCCCTGTGGGATGTTACAGGGAGTTTTATTGTACTGTGTCAGGCTGTAAGAATCTCACTCTGTATTCTCCCCTTCCTTTAGAGCGAGTGATGACATAAAAGTTCTGTCTTCTGGCTTTTCAGAGGAGGAGAGAAAAATGTCTGCTTTTTTAAACAGTAAAACTACCAGAAGCAGCAGAGGTACTTTAAGCCTTTTCTACTGCATAGAAAAAAATACTGTTAATGTAGATGTTGTGTGACTTGTACACCTGGTAATTTCTGGGAGGGCCTTTCTGCAGGAGGCAGAGTCCATTGCACTGAAGGATGCTCTGCAGCACCGAATGCCACTGACCCTCCTGTGCCACAGCCGTCTTGCTCTGTCCCAGCTCCCTCTGCACCTTGGCCATGGGGGTGGCTCTTTAAAGACCTACAAGAAAGCAGCAGTGGCTTTCTCCCTGGTTTTATTTAAGAGTGTGATGTGATTCATGTACATTTTCTGCCTGTGGGCTATATCAAGTGTAAGTGTTCCAATGTCATATTACAGTGGGGAACCCTGTAACAGTGTGTGCTTGTGGCCTTTGGTTTTGCAGATCCCATGGAAGGTTACCAGGGTTCGCCATATCCAGAAATTGATCATTTTGTTCGTTCCTTGGTTAATAAAGATGGGCTGCAAGGAGGTAAAGAGACCACCCTACATTTACAAATGACTCTTCTGCAGCACTATTTCTAAAGAATTCAAAGATTTTGGTTTTTTTTCCTTAGGGATAAGACAATGGAGTTACTTCTCTCTCAAAGAACTACTTATTTATGATATTTCTGGTTACCGCTGGTGTGAAAATATTGGAAGAGCTCACAAAAGTAACAATATAATGTATGTTCTGTAACTATTCAGTTTTAAACAGCTTATTTAAAAATATTTAAAAATATTTTAAAAATAAATATTTTCCTGAGTAACTGTTATTCTCTAGAAATGCTGAGAAAGCTCTTATGGATAGAATCAGCAACTGTTACAACTTCTGCTGTCTTGCTCTGTGGGGATACAATATTTTAATTACAAAAAAAAAAAATCCACAAAACCAAAGAAACTATTTATGCCCTCCCCACGTTTACTTTGTGATAACTGGACTTTTATTTCCACTAATTCTTTGCAGTAATCTTCATGGTATTTAAAATATGGGCCCAAAGATGCTAACATAAAAGTCACAATACATTAAAGCTATTAAACAATACTATGTTTTGATACTTCCCAGCTAGGAAGCTGAAAAATAAGAAAGCAAGCAGATTGCTTTTAAATTAATTTACAGTGCTTCTTAAATTACATTCTTACATTATTAAAATGGCTCTGTCATTTTAACAATTGAGAATTGCTATTTTAGAATGGTAATTCTGCCACATGAATCAAGATGAGTTTTGCTAGTTACTCTACAAGGACTCAGGCTTCCTAGTTTTAGCAAAATAAATGATGGAAAGTCAGTTTTTTAGACTATACTAGAATTATGGTGTATAATTAGTATAAATATTTTAACTTAGAAATAATTTTATGTAACATTTAAAATCACCGCAACATAAGGAATGTGTTTCTGAGAAACAAAGATTTTCAAAAAACCTCACAGCAGGATGAACTTGCTGTTTCTCAAGTGAGTTTCTTGAAGTTTGGTGTTTCTAAAGCACAGAAAGCTGGGTGGCCTATCAGCTGACAGAAAATAGTGATTTCATGTGGCTTTTATAATTTCATTATCTGTAACAGCAGCAGCAACAACAAAATCTTATCTTACAATCAAGTCCTATATGCTGATCTTAATTTGATGACTTTCTCTCCAAGCTTAATGTAATGACATTGACTAAATTTCACTTTCAGATGTTAGTCTTAAAAATTTATTTCTTTAAACTTAAGAAATCTGAAGTTTACTAAAAATTGTACAAAACAAGTACATAGTAAATATGCCAAGAGTATGAAAGCAATGTCCTTAGCTGAGGACAAACAAAACCTGTTCATTTAGTGTTAGTTTCCTACCATATGAATTCACTTCATTTATGTACTGATACTAAAAACCAAAATAATTTCCTTCTTAGGATTCTGGTAGATCTAAAGAACGAAGTCTGGTATCAAAAGTGTCACGATCCTGTCTGCAGAGAACAAAACTTCAAATCACAAAGTACGTAGCCTGTGATCTCAATTATACTTCATACATTTTGGAATGTTAACTTTAATTAATGTCTTATATTTGATTTAGGTTTCCCATTGCCGCCTGGGATATGCCTCCCATCCCTTTTCAAAGAGGTACGTTTTTGTCCTGGTGAGATGCTCAAGTTCTTGTGAGGCACTGGAAGCCCTTGGATATTCCCACCAACATCCCAGCCTGCTGGGAGAGCTCCACACATTGTTCCAATGGTATAGGAGAGGTTCCCAGAGCAGCTGTGCTGGTGTGGTAGCTCCATATATTCATTTTTAAGTTCTGCAGCAACGCTAAGTTACTGGAATTGTCTGACATCCCCTAGGACTCAAGACTTTCTGTTCTGATGTGAGCAGCAGTTCCCAATGCCTAAGCCACAGGGTTGCTCCAGGTGCAGAACTGAGAAACTGCCCAAGTTTAGCTGTGCTGTGCATGTCTGACTTCATGCAAAATAGAACAGAACTGGTTCTGGAACACTGGAGTCAGTCAGAGCCAAATGAAGGCAGTGACCCTCATTTCTGAAATTCATTTATCTCCACTGTCGTGTACTAAAGCAGCACATTTCCCCAGACAGGCAGAATATTTAAACTGACCTGATCCTGCACCTAGACTCTAGGTGAACTCCCTGAACAGACAAGTTTTTCCAGTGCTTAGGCAATAACAATTGGTATTTTTTCAACTTAAAAATTTAACTATACAGCTCTAAATATCATACAGCAGAATGGCACCTTAAGCTCTACTCAGGCAGCTCATCAATAGCTATTCATTTTCAGAAAGTGTCATTTAACTGTATTTTCAGGTCCTGACAGTCAGTATCTTTGAACAGACACTTAAGTTAGTCTTAACCTTGTATTATTTTCTGCAGCTGTATTCAACAGGCTACTTGTAGGGTGCTAGAAAAACTGGATTTCTACTCCTGTTAAAATAGGCTTCCACAGGTTAATGTGGCTGTATATAATAAGCTGGAAAGTCTTGTAGTGCTGGCCAGCTTTCTGCAGTGGCCATTCTGTGTGACAGCACAAACTCCAAACTGGCAGAGCAGCTGAAGGCTTCAAGAGTATTTGCATGTGAAATGAGCAGTGTTCTTGTTTCTCAAAGGAAGAAGAGTCCATGCTAATGGAGGACAGGGGGCACACAGAAGGAAAAGTACAGCCACATTCTCATGTGTCAGACTTGTCAAAAAGCTCAGTATCTCCAGGGAACAGCTGGTCTCAGGACTTGCTGTTGTCAGACAGTGAGTGGGAAAACACAAGTGATGATGCCTGTTTCCTAGAAGCTGCTGAAGATGTGGAACTAGCTGAAGCTGCAGATGACAGTCTGAATCATGGCATGGAAGAAATCCCAGATGAAGTTCTTTTGGAAGCCTTAGGGAAAGAAGACCTCCACGCTAAAGAAGGCAGCTAAGCACAGGCCTGGCCAGCAGTGAATGACACCTGGGTGGCTCATGCTGGTGTGAAAGGTCCTGCAGGGCGGTTCACAGGCACCCCCCAGAGCTGCAGGACAAGGAATGGAGTGCCTAGTGAACTTCAGCAGGCGTGAGGAGATCATGGAAGGCTGCGTGGGGGCTGAAGGGAACGGGACTAGAATACTCATTATGAATGTGCTCCAAGCTCAGCACTTTTAACGCTCTTTCCTGCACAGTTTCTGTTTTGTTAGTTGTATGTCCATGTTTTATTGAGAAGCCAACAAAGCAGACTTCTTATTTCCATAAAAAAGATTAAATTATTTATCAAATGCAAATTTAATAAACATATTTGTTTATTCATCTTTGTTGAACCAGAGTCTGTGTTCTCTTTATGAATATAGTCTTCTCAAGATTACTTTAATAGGACAATATTAACACCCAACATGAGTACAGAAATGTTCTATTAACTGTGATCACTATTTCCTTTCATTGATATTTGACATCTTGATATCTTTTTTATTTGACAATAAAAAGATAAAATCTTTAAGTTGCTGACTTCTTTTAAACACTGAAACAAAACAGAATGACAATGATTAAACAAGCTTTAAGCACTGACAATTCTAATAACTGTTCCTACTGAATGTCTGAAAGTCTTAAAAGGCCACTTAATTTTTCTTTGATTTCTGCTCTTTTTGTGCAGCCAGAGCCTCTTCAAGTTTCATATTGATACTCTCAAAGTGCCTTTCTGCTCCTAGAATTCTCCGAGACTCCACCAGAAGAGCAGGGAGGCTGGAAGTTCCATACTGTTGATAAGGAAATAAAATTACAAGGCAACATTTTTAGCTCTCAGAAAGATCACTTACATATCAGTATTTATTTTTCCTCTAAAGTGGTGCAAGACCTTTAAAAGTGAACAGCCAAAATTAGAGTGCCTTCTGAAATGTGAGGATTTCCCTTGCACAGGGCAGGTGTGCAAGCCTTCTCCACAGAAAATAGCACGCCAGGTCTGGTTACAGCAGGGATGGATTCTAAAGCTACATGAGAAGTTTCTCTGGTCATGACAACCCAGCACTGTTCTCAGCATTAAATAAATATCTTACATGGAAGTGCCAGAGCTTACCCTACTTCTGAACAACAACACAAAAAATTCATTACTTCTTGATTAAAGAAATTCATTAATTACTTCTTGATTGAAGATTAACTCACTGTTAATCTTCAATTTCTATTAAAAAAAGGACAACTAGGGACAACTGCTTTATTTTTATGTCCTTTGAATTCCTGGATACTGAGAGCAAGGCAGCAGAATCTGCTCTGAAATACTCCAGCTTCTAATATGAGACCAAAAAAACCAAGTGAGATACTACAGTAAAGTTCAGCAGTGATTCTCAAGCTGCTTCCACAAAGACAATTAACATTATACTACTACTTAAGAGATGTTAATAAATAGATGTCATAAATTAAAATAAAAACACTTAAAAATCTGAAACACATGCGGAATATGTACTTACTACCACTTTTTTTTTGGGGTTTTCTTCTCTATAATCCAAACAGTCTTGCTGTAGCTCCTTTAAATCAGTAATTAATTCAATTGTTTGCCTCAAGGAAGATTTCCTTTCCTGTAACTCAGAAAATTCTCTTTGTAGTTGCGTCAGTTGCGGTTCAGCTCTGAAAGAAGATCAAGACTTTGATGCTTACATCTGCATATTTATTGCATAAATAACTATAACCCTATTTCCTCTGAAGGAATTCTTAAAAGGTTGGTCAGAAATACAAAACACAGCTTACTATGGAATAGTGCTTAGGCAGAACAAGCATAGTACTTAAACAGGGGCACGAGTCCAAATACACCAAAAAGACCCAAACCTCTCTTTTGAGTCTGCCACTCTTTCCTTAAGCATTTATGTTTTTGAAGTGTAGTTTCTTAAATACAAGGTGTTCTGCTTCTGCACACCCCTGCCTGCACAGCTGTTGGTCACTGCTTATGCTGAAGCATATTCAGGATCTACAAACTACCTACACCTCTGCTAAATAAACTGCAGTGCTTAATCCGTTAAAGTAGCACTCCAAGAACTGAGCACCAACAGTGGTTTTCATATAAAGGGTTGCAGGAAAGAAAACCTTCTAAAATGATCAAAGGATTAAAACACAACATATAAAAATGTGCAGACAGCTTTCAGGGGCTTCAAATAGTTCTCTGAGAAAAGTTTGTCCATAGGACTACAAAGAAAAGCACCTTTTAGCCTGTTATTGTGGATCCAAGCCCATGGCTCCCTACAGTTGCCTTACAGGGTGTGTTAAATGCAGCTTAGTACAAAGCTTGTCCCCAGCAACCCGAGGGCTTTGGGGAAGTCTAATGGTTCTTCCAACCACATAATTCCTGTGCTGGGTATCTAAATGACACTTAAGATTAATGCCAAAGTTAGAGAGGGGGAATTGTGTGGCCACATGAGAAGGAAATAAGCCATGTACTGAGAGCAACCCCTGCCCACCTGCAGAGCTGAAATACACTCTCCCACCTCAAAAGCCAAGAAGTCCTCTGTGTGACCTTTGTAATTTATGATCCAGCACCTCTGCAATTCAAATCCTAACACTGGTGTTCTTCCTATCAACATATGGTGAGAAATACCCTCCCAGTAACCAGTCAGCTAAAAGAACTTGCAAGAATGACTGCCAGGCAACTAAAATATGTAAAGGAGAGGTTATCATGAGCTTATGCAAAAACAAAAAGCAAAGTGGCAATTTCATCAAAATAAAATGAGAGAACAAAAGAAGTTACTTTCCCTTCCGAGTTACAAAATACCAGACTCTTGAAGTTCTTCAGGCTGTTATTGTCCATCGTTAGGTACACACCCAATTAGCCCTTCTCTGACTTGCACCAGTTGCTGCCTTTTCTTTTTGATGTTGGTTATTGCCTGAAACAAACAGTGAGCAAAGTCTGCGAAACAGTTTCTAAAACTTCAAAGGTAAACAACTCAAATTTCATTGCCTTTTTTTTCCTCTGAAGTTTTATGCTGATTGTCATTGTGGAAAATTGTAAGATACCAGATCTGATAAAGTGCCATAAGTTATAACTGTATTTGAAACAATTCAAAGGTGTTTAAAATGCCAAACTCTAATCTCCATCCAAAAGTTTTCTTAAGAAACATTGGATTTACAAGCATACAAAAGGAGTTTGTGACTTCTTCATTTCAAACATTAAGAACTCTAGGAGGTTTTAGGTTTAAAGATGAAAATTAATGCATATGTGTGTCCAGCATGATTGCCATAACTAAGTAAGCTTTCTTTAATATAACATGCAATTAAAAGAAAAGCAACACCCAAAACTCATAATTTAAATTTAGCAACTAAAAATTTAATTTTAAACAAATGTCTAAGAAGCAAACTAAGGATAAATCTGAGTGGCTGTGACTGCTAGGTGTGTATTAAGATTTTCATTTTACATGCAGAGCAGTTTACCATATCACCCCAAGTCAACAAGACTTTAGCATATTAATTGCTGCTTCCCAGGATAAGCTTTATGTTGACTATTTGTTAAAGCTATTTTGCCATTGAAAATTTTGTAGAGGATGTTAATTTGGGCAGAAATCCAAACAGTGCCTAAGCTGCTCTGAAATCTCTCTTCTGTAGGGCATTCACCTCTCCCTGATGAAACCACTGCAATGTTTTTCTGCCCTTACACTAGTGCCTCCTTCTGACAACATTCCTATTGCATTTTCAGCAAATTCCTACTTGCTATACATAAATAAATAAATAAAAGGAGAGGAACTGTCTTCCTCTGAACAAAAATTCTGCATCTATTTAGGGAATGCAGCTGCCTGAGTCTTCCCTTCTTTAAATTAAGCAATCCCATTCTATCCTCACAGGTTTCTATCTCTGCTGCTCTCCTAGGTTTTACATTCATTTATATTTCTTTAAGGTTAGCTCTCATTATTTAACTGGCTCTCCAGAGGCCTCACTCATTAAAAAAAAAAAACCAAACCAAAAAGACAAAAGAGTAATTGACATGCACAGATCTTAGCCATCCTAATGTGCACTCATTGTTTTCACACCATATAGCAGTATACATCTGGAGTTTGCAATCCACCACATTTACTCAGATCTATTCCAAAAACCCTCCTGTAGTTCCCTAACCTGTTTGTGCAGTTGATTCTGAGTACAGTACACCTTTCTGGAAATTGTTTTGTCTCTTCCAGTCAAGTTCTCAACATTTCAATGCCCGCAACTGTATGCTCTATAATCTAGTGATATGTATGTGCTTACCTTAGCATTTTTCTTCTTCATATTCTTTAATTCCTGGACTCCTGCTATCTACAGAGAAGAAGAATTACAGGTTGACAGGTCATCACTATCCTCCTAAAAATATGGCTGCAAGAATTACTTTGGAATATCATAAAAAGTTGTTCTTTTATTTTTAAAAAAACCAACCCCGGTTCAAAGGGACATCACCAGTTGTGTATTGATTCTTTCCTCTCTCCTCATGCCAGAGGAGCTTTTGCAAGTAATACTCCTTGTACCAATTCTTGTAATATTACCTTCCTTAATTTTTCTATATCTTTATACAGATGTATAAATCTGGTAATCCCAGCACTTGTTACTGCTAATGAACCACTCAGAACTACAGCTTTAGTAATTAGCCACTGTACTTGGTACAAGTGCTGCAAAGTTCTGAGTTCATTTTACTCATCAGAATCACCTTGATCTTTCCTGCCAATAAATCACAGGATGGCTCAGGCTGGAAGGGACCACAGTGGTCACCTGGTCCAACCTCCCTGTTCAAGCAGGGTCATCCTAGAGCATGTGGCACAGGATTGTGTCCAGATGGTTCTTGAATATCTTACACTTACAGTTATGTTCAAAATGTTAATTTAAAAAGGATGATTTTCCCTGGAATATGTTAGAGGTCTTACTTAGAAGTCACTGAGACAGCACAAAAATTAAACCCACCTTTTAAACCTCCAGTCAATGAGCTTTGAAAGCAGTGTTTGACATAGCTGTATGCTCATCTAAATGATGCAGCTCACCAGTTTTACTACATAATGATTTAAACATGACCAACACTTCAGGATTACTGGATGCTTCCCTACTCTCAAAAGGTGACAATTTGGCAAAGGACTTGCATGACCCCAGTGTTGTGTCTAGAGGCAGTTATTGTGAAAACCTGCACAGAGGCAGCCAATTCTAACCTGCACACAACAAATCATGTTTTCATATTATAATACTGACAAGAGACTAGAAACTTTTACAGCTTGTAAAATGAACGTGTAAAGGGCAATATAAAACCATAGGTATTTTGACCACAAAACTGATTTTATCTCTGGTGTACTTACAAGATCAGTGATTTGATCCTTGAAAGCAGAAGAAAAGTCACTGATAGCCTTTCTGCAAATGTTTGATTCTATGCTTTGTCTGGAGAAGTCAGAGGGACAAAACATATTTGGTTTAGTAAAGGGGAAATCTCATCCAAAACCCTTCCTTTGAGTAACAAATGAAACCCAAAGTTAAGCAGATAGACAATGGAAGATCTTTCATATACCAGCAATAGCTTTATTTCTGCCTTGAAAAATAGCAGCTGAAATGTGCTGTTCATGTTTGGAAAAATATCAAACCCCTGGAGACCATGTCAAGATTACATGTGAAGAAACATTTTTGTCATAGATACTTAATTATCCTTAACATCAGAATGTAACCATGCAGCAGTGATTCCCTAAAGGAGAGCCCATTACCAAAACCACAGCTATTTCCTTTGAAAACTTTGAATATCCACTCATGGAAAAGCAGAATATTTACCTGTAATTTGCTGCTATCTTCTCAACTTCAGCCAGAACAACATCCAGTTCTGTAATATCTCTAGGAGATCTCTTCAGCTCTTTGGGACACCAAACCTGTACAGAATGTGGGTTATCCACTGGAACAACAGAATGAACATAAGCATTGCACAATTCTGGTACACATTGTAAAACAACAGAAAAACTCTGGTGCCCATCATCAAAATAACCACCCAAAAGTTATGAGTATTTTAACATGAAATGTGAGAAGAGGAATATTCTAATTATTTCACCTGTCTTTGCCTGTGCAACTGTGATAGATTTACCTGGGAACACCTTAGAATTGGGATGATCAATGACATGTAACTTCATTCTTATTATTTATTGATTCAAGCAAGCCAGGAACACATCAGTAAACTAAGTAATAAACTACATAGTGTACTGTAGATGTGATTTGTGTGTTAAAAACTATTAGCCTGAATTGCAACTTGCATTACTCAAAGAATCACAAGCTTTTATATTTGTATACATTCTTTTATTAATACCACTTATGCTCCAAAACCCCACTATACACAAATACATTTCTTTAAACTTTGAAATAGCATTATAAACCAATTCCACAAAAAGTGAAACCATGTTTCTTCACACAGTCCCCAGTGTAAATCCAGTACTAAAATGTGGTGGGGTCCTGTTCAAGGGAAGCAGGATGACCCAAGGGACAGTTTCTTCCCACTGAAAAATGCCACTGTCTTGGAGCTCCCTGTCTCAAGGGACTTTACATCAACAGCTGCTCCTGCACTGCAGCCAGGGGTGCCCCAAGCTCTGCCCCACAGCTGCTGCTCCAGGCTCCAGACCAAGGCATGTACTGACCCCTCCCACAGCCTCACAGCCACAGCTGCAGCCTTCCCTCCAAAGGAAACCAGGCTGCCTGAGAGGTGCAATGCACACCTACACCTTACCCCTTCAGCACAGGAACAGCCACGGCCAGGGATGCAAACCACGGGGATCACATGGGGGTCTACACCAAAACTGAAACTGAAACTTCCCATTTCTAGAAGCACCATGTTGCTACATTCCAGAAATGAAAACCACTGAAAAACTTTGATCTTGAATGAAGAAAAGATATATGGGAGCTCTGAAAAGTGTACTTTACCGGAAGGATCTGATGTGTTCTCCTCTGAAGGCTGCTCCTTTTCTTCCTGGAATTCAGTATTCAGAGTTTTCTGTGACACAAAAAGCAGATTAACTTCCAGAAGAAACCCAAGGTTTACTCATCTGAACTCCTGAGAGATGACAATCGGGCAGCATGCAGAAAGCACTCCCTGACTGAAGCACCAGTAACACTTCCTTTGGCCTGTTCAGCCAGTCCCAGCCCAGTGCCACCCTGCTGCAGGACAGAGGATGCCTGACTGCCCTGGCCACCGATCCTCCAGCCACGGCCAGGCAGCAGGGAGTGCAGTAAGTGTTCAAAAACACTCATTCAAAACTGAATGGCTTTTCATTCTAACACACATTCAAAATTAATTTTATCAATATTCTTTTTCCCATAAACCTGTTCTGCTTCTATACCAAACAAGTACAAAGGATTCATGTTCCATCTAGTATGCCATTCCTTGAGAACATATATTCCAGATACAAAGAAGATAATTGGAAAAATGAAAGCATATACTCCCAAACCAGCAAGAGAATAGGCTACAGGATCCAGGAACACCTGGCTATTATATTCCTTGTTGTTGTGATGACTTGTAGCTTTGAGCATTTCACTTGGCCACCTCACTGGAATACTCTGAGGACTGATTATCTGGGATACAATTAAGTACTAAGAAAAAAATGGTAGGTCTTTCTCTGCCCCAATCCTCTAATGCAGACATGGCATGAAATAAACTAAAATTAAATGGACTGAAAATAATCATGAAACTTTTTTGGTACCACAGTCTCCTTAAGGGGCTCCTCTCCAGCACCAGCTGTGTTGAATTCCTGAGCATCACCACTGGAGGGCTTTGAGTGACGCCGTTTTTTACTGGGAAAAGAAAAACATACACTACTACCCTCTGAGGAAGGATGAGCCATACACACAAAACCCTGTGTTTTGGGGAACATTTTGTACAGCTGTATCTCATACAAGTATTATTAAAGTTTTACTTGAATTAAATAGCAAGACAATTTCAGATTTAAACCAAATTGGATTATACATATTAGAAATATACTAAAATTTTAATTCTAATATTTTAAAAATAATTTTCTTTGTTACGTATAATTGAAGTAGAACACTTTTCCCTTCAAATCTAAATACCTAAAGATTAAATTAAATGCTGACAATTTTATTTTTTTTCCAACAGACCGTCTGTCTGTATTTTGCCTTTGTGGTGCTGAAACACGACCGAGTGCCTCGTTTTGTGACTGTTCCTCTCCATAAGCATCCACAGCAGTACTGTGCAAAGGGTGATCTAAAAAGAACAAAAAATTAACTGTATGAGCACTGCTCCCATCTGTCAAGGCAAAGAGCACTGCCAGCCATTAAGCATTTAGTTAGAATATTTGTGGTTTGCTAACTAACATAAAGGAAGTTCTTGTTACAAGTATTATTTGAGTATTATGAAAAGATATAGAGTGAAAGGTTTCATAGTTTCTGTACCCATCCACCTGCTATTTCTTTAGAACCCAAACCAAGCTCAGCATGTACACATGGCACAGAGCAAGTAAAATACTTGGTACAGTTTAATTCAAGTTCTTCCTTGCTGTGGCATATGTAAGCCTTCTACACATTTAAACAATTACTTTCTTTTTTTTTTTTTAATAAATTTTTAGTAAATGTAAAATTCTTGAAGGTAGCTACCAAAATAGATTAGAACTCTGAAAAATTTAGGTTTCAGCATGCCTTCCACAGTATAAATTTCTTTTTCAAGCACACTGCCACAAAACTTTTGTGTTGATTTACATTAGTGTCAGTGGGCATTCTTTTTGCAGTCTAAATACATACCACAGAAACAAGATTTTTTCATTTTGCAGCCTTGCCTTACAAACAACCCTTTTGCTAAATTGTTTTTTATAGCTCATGGTCAATGCTGTTCCTAAGTTGCATTTATAGTACGTGGTTTGCTCAGAGTAATAACTATTACAGTTGAGAAACAGCTCTTAAAAAAAATACAGATAGCTATAACAGAGGACTCCACACAGAAGAGCATCTACCCCTTCTAAATTGATTCTCTTCCTGTGTACTGAGGCCTCATTACACAAGTCCAATATAAAACACGGAAGTGGTTTTAATCCTTCACCACAAATTGCATGGCTTTATGTTTTTTCTTTAAGTAACACCTGAGAGTGGCAGAAAAACACCCCTGCAAATGTCCAGGTCTACTACCATGAATATTCTTACAATGGTAAAAATGTCACTTCACAATTTGTGCAGTCTAATAAAGAATTAGTTAACTTTGGTTTTTAACTGTAAGTTCTTACACAAGTGCAGTACTATGATGTGTGAAATTCTACCATTCAGACTATAAAGGTGGAATGGCCAGTATTTTCCCATTGACTTTTATTTGCACATAGCACAGCATTATTCCTGTTACTTCCCAAATTACAGAAAATAACAAAAAATCGCATCTGTCTTTCCTCTCCATTACTTTCTCTTGCAAAGAACCAAAACCTTTTCCTAGGTAAGCACCTGAAGTATTTTGTCCATGTGGTTGGTTTGTGAAAAACATGCATTAAATGACACTCAAGATAATACTAACCAAAGGAATCATCAAGCTCATCAAGCTGGTTTGTGTCTGCTACCTTCAATATCCTTGAGACATCTGGCTCCTCAAGCGGAAGAGATTTCACACGAGGATTGGAGTTGGCTTTGTGCTCCTGGATAGGGATGAATTAACAGCCACTTGACCCAGCTCTCTGAATGTACAGCAGATTAAACGTGACAATACATTTCAAGAACATTTGGCTAGGAATACACTTAACCAGAACCATATTGACTCCTAAGCTATGACATAAGGATTTGAAGCATATTTTTGTCTCAGGCTGTGGGGTTTTTCCCCTAAAAGAAGCGATGGTATAAAATGTTTATGTTCTGCTATTTGATACTGTATTCTGCTGCAAGCTTTGTCTTATTTCATAAACCTATATAAGCTTAGCAATCTTATAACACTCTAATACCTGGTTTCTATGACATGTAGTCTTTCTTTTCAGGCATTAAAATATTTTTTCTTTCATTTCTATATCACATAAATTTCCACCCTTGTCTAATTTAATTATTTTCATCTTAAGAAACTGAAAAGCTATAGAGCAACTTCTTATTTAAAAATGGTGGAATTTACAAATCAAGGATTACAGAGACACTTCTGTAAAGCAGAAGGGTAAGGGAGAATGACACTAGTTAATGAAACAGTTGTATGCCATTCACAAAATGCACAAGTGACTTTCCTCACTAATTTCTGTGTGTTCCTGTAGGGTGAATTATAACCAGAAGACTGACCTCTGGAGCTTTTTAATTTTACCAATGCTTAGCAGTGCCCCAGCATTTCTATTATAGTACCAAATATACACATCAACTACTTTCGCTACAAATCTTCTTTTATGAGATTGTTTATAAACTTTTGCCTGTTTGAAAGTCAATGATCCATTTTGTGCTACACCTAAAAGGAAAAAAGAAAACTCCACAGCAGCACCCCCAGCAGCTCCCAGTGCAAAGCAAGCCCTGCATCCGCCTCGGGGACAATGCCATAACATAACATAAGGGCACAGTGACACAACACAGAATCACAGAATATCCTGCACTGGAAGGGACCCACAGGGCCTTGCACAGGATACCCCACGAGCCACACCCTGTGCCCAAGAGCACTGTCCAAACAGTCCCTGAATTCTGTCAGGCTTGGGGCTGTGACCACTCCCCTGGGGAGCTTGGGCCAGTGTTCAACCACCCTCTGGGTGAAAAACCTCGAATATCCAACCTCAACCTTCCAGGCCGCTCCCCTCGGTCCCCTCGCCGGTCCCCAGAGAGGAGAGGTCAATGTCTGTCCCCGCAATCCCTTGGTGAGGAAGCTGAGCCCACTGAGGGCTCCCCTCAGTGTGCAGCTGAGCGGACCGAGACCTCAGCCACCCCTCACACGGCTTCCCCTCAGGGCCCGTCACCTTGCCCGCCTCTGAACACTGCAAAACCGGCACACTGGCTGTCTGAATTCTGCCCTCCCTAGCCAAACCTACCTCTGGCTTATAGCTGGTACGATTCTTCTTTATTTTCTTCTTTGAGGACATTTCGCTTTTCAGTAAACACTGCTGAATACAAAACGAGGATGAAGTTAGTGAGAAATTGTCGCCGATACAACTCAGCTTTCTCAGGGTGGGCACTTGGGAAAGAACGGGATATCTTTGTTACCTCAAGCTATTCTTTGCTCCTTCAGGCTGTTGGGCTCAGCTCACTCCAGAAGCGGCACAAGCCGGTCCCGCCGACCCGGCCCCTCAGGGCAGCCTCCCGCCGCCTTTGGAACGCGCGCGCCGAGCGGGCAGGAAGGAAGGGGAGGAGCGGCCGGCCGGAAAGGGAAGCGGGACACGGGACGGCGCCGCCGCACCCCGCTCCGCCGGGAGAATTCACCTAACCCCACTATCCTCCGTAGTTTTCTGTCAACGACTCTGGTTAAATACAAAAAAATAAACCACAAAAACTTCCCGGTTTTTTCTCCCCTCTCTTTCCCTAAACTGACGCTGTGCATCTGGTAAAGCGAGTCAAAGAGATCGCTTCTGCAAAGATAAAGATACGGTCACAAACAGTTCAGAAATTTATTTAAGCAGCGCCAAAAAAAAGTAGGCTTTAGCTTGAAAATATAAAATTCCATCTCTGGCAATTAAAGTGTTAAGAGGAGATTTAGCAATTTGTCACGTCCCGTCAGTTGGAGGGACTGCCACACCTCTGTATGCATGGCGGTGATGACACCCACACACACCCCTTTGGCTTTAGCCAGGCAAACTAAAACAACCAAACACACACTTTAGGCTGAAGAGTTTGTAAGCTCTCTGTAGACTTCTGTTTTGCTGGCTATAGCACCTAGCCCCATGAGCCACAAATACTACAGTACAAATTTGTTTCTGTAGTGATAGATGCTTTTCCGGAAAGGTTTCAATAGAATGTTGTTAAGAACATAAACCTTGAATCCAATTCTCATCCATTTCTCAGCTATCTCAGTAGGTGATGTGTGGTGACACGTCCCTGCCTTTGCAAGCAGCATACACACAGATTTGAGTATGTTATTCAGTAAGTGACAAATCTGGTTTAGGTTTCCTTCAGTATGGAAGAAATGTATAAAAGAAAATAGAAAATTACTTGAGAGGAGAAACTCTACAATGAGTAGGAGCAGAAATTTGCTTAGCATCTTGCACTGACATCTATATTCTCATGGAGCTTTAAATAATGTATGGGTGGTGGTGCTTCCTCTACCCTGCTCTGGTAACTCCAGCCCTAAAATCTCTCAAACCATACACCCTGGATTTAAGCCAAATGCAGTGTGAGGGCAGGATTAAGGAAACCCACTACCACCCAAGCAGTGTTTCAGAAAACTCCACCTTTCACTTAAGTCATCTGAGGTGATGGTAAGAACACAACTGCCAAGAAAAAGGCAAAAATAAAAGATTTGCTTGTTTCATAAAGTACTGAAAGAGCAAGTTACATACAAGAGTATTCTTTTCCTACAATTATTGGCCAACACCTTAAACATAAAAAGTTACTTTCCAAAAGCAAAAGTGCAAACAACCAGCCTTTATAATGTATTCAGTATGTCTGTAGCAGTGGAGTTTCACACCTTGTCAGTTAGAATATTACACCTGGGCTTGTTAGTCAGCAGCATTTTTCCTTGATAAATAAACGCATCACAGCATTGAAATGCAGAAATATTTATTTTGGTTTCCTTCATTGGTTTTGAAAATTGTTTTGGTTTTATAAAACATAGAAATAGCCAACACTAAGCAAACATTTGAATTTCAATGTAAAACTACTGCTCTAACAGTTGACTTGGATTTGTGTACCTGAATTGTATACACATACGAAATTATGCTACAGAGTAGTGCATTACAATCACACACAAATCTTAGTGCAAACCTTGTTGTGCTTGTATTTTACATATATCCATGTTTTCAAAAAACAGCAATGAATGTTAATGCAAAACCAACTCTGTTAAGGATAGCAAAAGACTTATGCTGGAATAAGGCTTATTTCTGCTGATTTTTCAAACAAAAGGTAATAACTAGTTTTTATTTTGCAATTTATCTGGGAATTAGGTTTTTATCCCTGAACAAATACCTATCCTGGGCCAACACACAGTTCTGTTGGCATGTATAAATCATTCCAATTGCTGCAAAGCATCAGGCAAAAACATTCTACCTGACCTATTTTACTATTCAGTGAAGGGTACTCAGTGGCTCATACATAAAGCACAGGAAACAGGTTATGTCAGAAGTCTTCCACTTCGAGAGGGCCTGGCACATTTTTTATAAAAACACATTTTAAATACAAGTTCATTACAGGGCATCAAGTGTCTGGTACAGGTGCAATGCTTACCCTGACTGTTAGCATAGCCCAGCCTTCTGATTCGGTTTTTAGGTCTCTAGTGTTCTTGCCAGAGTTGGGATCTGCTCATTTGCAGGGCTGGCACCACTCCAGAACCATGCTAATGCAGCAGAGGCTACACTTGCTGAAAGAACTGCATCCACACAGTGCAGAACCACCATATGCAGACTCTGAGGAACTTCTATTCATCAATCTTCTTTGTGTGGAGTGCTGACTTCTACCTTACAGAGGTATATCCCATAACTCCATAACTGGCTGCAGATGTAGAGGGGAGATACAGCTCAGATGCCTTGCCCCAGTTAACATTGGGACTAACAAAAGATGTGATACCAGCCATGCAAACTGTAAGGGTTTGGGCTTTTTGGTGGTGGGGTGGGTGGGGTGGTTTTGAACAGCTTAAGTAATTTTTCTGAGAATGCAGGATACTTAGAGGCATTTTCAAAGCTGCCAAATCCTTTGTGGAATTGACAACTGCAAAACACACTGCAGACAGCAAACATGCTGGCAATAAAACCTTAGCTCCTTGGTGAAGGTGAGTCCCATTTTTGACCAAGGAAATATTAAATAACTTACATATAGTTACCATTTACAGTTAAGGCTCTTTTTGGAAATTGTAGGTCACCATAAAAACAGTATGCAACACAACTTGACAGTAAGGCAGTGTTCCATTTCTTCAATGTTCCTATGGCAAGTACCCATTTTTGTACAAGTTAATGATTGCACAGTTTCCTTCCCTATTTTTGCTGTAGTCAAAATACAGATACAAAGGCCAACAGTAGACAGACATGTGCCATTTTTCTCATTCCACTTGCAGTTACATTTTGGCATTAGCATAGAGTTCATCTATCTGTGACTGGAAGTATTTTCGCAGTTCTGGTCTCTTCGCCTTCAGTGTTGGTGTCAACAGGCCATTTTCAATAGAAAACATTTCAGTGTGCAGGACAATGTCTTTCACCTGGAAAATAAAAAGTTACTAGCCAAGCTGTATTCCTTGAAATAGATAAGACTATTACAAACTTGCCCAGACATCTTACCAAAGCTCATCACTTGAAAAGCTTTCCAGACAAATTAAAAGCAGTGTTTGGAGAATCAGATCATATTGGTGTTGACAAGTTTAAAAAATTAGGCATTTGGTTCTCACAAGCATCATACCTGTTCAAATGACTTCAAACCAGATTCTTTCCCAATTCTCACCATGTCCTCCAGAATAAATTTTTTTACATCCTGTGGATACAGAAATATGTTATATAGCTTCATGCTTCCATAAGCAGCAACTTGAAAAAGCTGATGCAGAACATTTAACAGTTCAGCTAGACATGCCCCTTACCTTGTTTCTGCATAGCTCTTGATAGGAGCCTTCACATCCCCTTTTCTTGGCCCAGCTGTTCAGAGTATCAGGATCAGGTACCACAACACCTACTAAGAAGGCCTGGAAAAAAAAAGAGAAAAGCTTGACAAAAATTCCTAGGTCAACACTTCAGTTCCTACACATTTCATTGGGGAGCATTTCTGATCCTGCTGTAAAGTCAACAGCTTTCTCTGATACCTACCTAAACACAGCAAGAGCAGTTCAGTTCAGCTGAACTGAAAGAATTAAGATTCACATTTTTCTTCACATTTGAAAACCCCCAAGATATCCAGGTTCTTTCTTGGTATGCATGGGTTTTTCTGTTTTGTTTTTTGGGTTTTTCCCACTGCACACTGTTAGCAATTTATATACAGTCATTAATATGCAAATTAGTTTAGTTCCACTACCTGGTGTGAAAGTAAATCCAGAAACATGCTATGTAACTGCTGGAATCCAATCAGAACCAAAATGCATAATGACAATAGTTTACAATAAAAATTTAAATTTCAGTCCCAAAATTTGGGGTGAGGGGAAGGAAGAAAGGAAAACTTTCCTGCAGTCTTCCTTTGCATTAACTTTTAAAATTACCTGAAAAATGCTTACCTGCAAGCTCTCTCCATGGACAAACACCTGTGCAACAGCTTCACATCTCAGATACACATTCTCTATTTTCTCTGGTGCTATGTACTCTCCCTGGGCTAGTTTAAATATGTGTTTTTTCCGGTCAATGATCTTCAACGTACCATTCTGTTGGCAGAAATAACTTTTACTCAGAGGAGGCACTTCAGGTGAAAAACCAATCTACACACCATAGGCATGCCACACTGGCACAATGAAACTGTGTTAAAATCAGAGAATAGTCAAACTAGTGTTAGAAGAAAATAGGTTATGTATCCATCTAATCTAAAGTGGGGAAAGCCTCAGCACTAGCACTGTCAATACTTTTTTAGGCCCAGGCATACAGATTCAGCTACAACAGTGATTATCCACAAATTCTTGTCTTTCACCTAACTAATTCTGTTCAATAGCAAATGTTTTCTAATATATTTATTAAATTTCTGCCAGTTACTATGAAAGTATTATTGCAGCTATGTAAGTTAACTTACTGGTAGCCACTTGCCAATATCTCCTGTGTGAAGCCAGCCATCTTGGTCCAGAGCCTCTGCTGTTTTTTCCGGATCTTTTAAATAGCCACGAAACACATTTACCCCTTTAATGCACACCTGAAAAGAGCAATTTGTTAATATGTGCCACAATGAAGGAAAGTTAGCAATCACTACTATAAAAAAATTCATCCTTCAATGATTCTTAATGCCCTTTAAAAAGGCAAGAGGAAATTTGTGTTTGTACAGGAATTTCTACTCATGGTTTTTGGAGATCTAATGTTTTCCATTGGTATGAAATTGAGTAAGAAGCAATTGGAAGGATCTGATCTCTTCCAGTCTAGCAGTAGTCTTCCTACCCACTATTTGAATAATTTGAATCTATCAGAAGAAATTTGGTTTTATTTACGTGAAAAAATTCTGCTGCATCCAGAAATACAATCTCTCAGCC